ATTATTCATTTAACACAAACTGTATGTAAATAATCAGTTTAGAACTATCATATTCTAATATCAATTCTAGACATACCATAGTTTTTTCTTCAAATTATTACTAAGCCATAATTAATATTTAGTTAACACAAACTATACTTTTATTTTTAATTATTTCCAAGTTGGACATACATCAGTCACAACCATGTTTAGTTAACATAAACTCTGCTTTCTTTTAAAGTCGACTAAAAAATCTTGTTAATATTCACTTAATACAAACCACACTTTCTTTTCATGTCAGCAAAAACATTTCATAGTCAACACATGTCTAATTCTACATTACATATAAAGACAGCCCCTCAAATGAGAATGCCTTGTGATGCTGTAAAACGCATACACTAAAAGAAGAGAAGGATGTAGAGCACTTGGTGTAGCAAGAACATCAGAGAAACTCTATGACAGTATGATGTGTATGTGATAGACGCAGCCAGTAGAGTTTAAAAAAAAAAAAAAGGCAGAACCTTATATCTCCCTCAGCACCCGAAGCAGTAATGGAGGAAGTGTCGAAGAAGAAAAAGAACATTAGGTTACTAGTTTTTTTAATGCACAGAATAAAACATTTCTTGATAGCACCAAACATATATAACCTACAGGCTAATGTGTGTGTCAGTGCCTGGTAGTGCAGCTTTTAGGAAATCTTAGTCATCAGCAATATTTTTAATAATAAATAAACTTAAGAGCTCGCACTCTCTCTCTCTCTCTTTCTCTCTCTCTCTCTCTCTCTCTCTCTCTCTCTCTCTCTCTCTCTCTCTCTCTCTCTCTCTCTCTCTCTCTCTCTCTCTCTCTCTCTCTCTCCCTCCCTCCCTCCTTCCCTTCCTCCCACCCACCCACCCACACACACATACACACACGAGTGGCCCTCCTAAAGACTAGGCTTCCTCAGGATCAAAGTGTTTATGCCAGGACATTCTGGGAAGGAGTGGATTAGCTTGCTAGCAGGGCCACAGTGAGCACAGGAACAGCAGTCCACAGAGGCAGTGTTCTTAGAACTCTCAGTGAGGCAGAATGAATAGATGATTTATGAAAAGATGGTAAATTGGCAACGTGACACGACTACGAGAACTTCAGGTCAAAAGAGGTGTTGCCAGACATGAGCACGAACGAACAAACTTTATTTTCAAAGGGTTACAAATTAGGCATGCAGGTCTTTCTTACATTCCGCCCTTCAAAACTCTCATCTTTCACACAGCACTTGTATTTCATCAGTAAAGCATGTTATGTTCATGTAATAATATGGATATTATGAGTATCAAGTCAAAAGCAAAAGCATGGGCGGTAAAATATGTGCGCATGCTCGCGCGCGAACACATACACCCACATACACATGCAAACCCATTCACTCACACACATAGGCACCCAATACACACATACATCCACATACATAGGCACCCAATACACACATACATCCACATACATACAAACATGCATTCACACACATACATACATACATACACACATACATACACACATATACAGGCACTATTTCTATGCACTATACAGGAAGCCAAAGAAGAATAGTCAACCAACATAGAATTAGTGTTGTCAGTTGCCACATGCTGGGGGAGATATTAAAGATGGGTTCAAGCACTTATGAACATTTGATGTGCAGTGAAGATGATCGATTAACTAACTAAGATCACAACCCCTAGACACCAAACAGCAGTCATCATAGTTTAGAGTAGAAGATTATCAAAACTCATGTTGAAAAAATGAGAAAGAAACCTTGTAGAACACCCCATTTATAACCTTATCATTAGGTTGAACAGTGTCAGTCGATAACAAAAGGAAACAAAACTTAGAGGTTATTATGATATATCTTAGACATGTGTGCACAAATTACTTTTTTACTCTCTTTCTTCTTAAAATTTGTTTTTGAACTGTACATTTGGATGTTAGGGAGAGCTAAAGTTAATTCCTACACTCATTCATTCATTCGTTCGTACATTATTCAGTGAGACTGCTTTTCTCCATTCATCCTTAAAAGGATAATTTACACATTGTTTTGTGGTTGACATCTAAATTGTGATATCTGTACCTTTTGGGCCAACACATACAGTTTTAGTAAACCTTAAATTGGTCGCCTTTATTGATATGCCTTTTATGCCCACTTGTTCTTTTATTCCCCAAAAATCAAAATTGTAATAATTATTATTATATACTATTCCCTATTACTAAGAATATATTTTCAGTATAGTGTTTGTGGCTCTATAATTTTAATAATTATATTTAATCTTTACCAACTTCTTTCCTAAAGGGAATAATATTTATGGAATGTATTCAACCAACTTCTTTCCTGAAGTGAATAAGATTTATGGAATGTATTCAACCAGCTTTTTTTCCTAAAGTGAATCAGATTTAGGGAATGTATTCATTAAGAGTTTAAACTGGAGTTAGGGTTGAATATGATGAAACTCATGTGGAACATGGGAATCCCATTATCATCTATGATTTTGTCAAAACGTCTACTATCAGCACCCAGTTATATTGACTGAGATATGTATAATTCCCATTCATTTTCAAACTTCTGTGCTAACTGCTGAAGATGAGGGCGGAGCAAACATGGAAATGCCTCGAGTGGTGTGATGTCAGTTCTTGACTCAACTCATTTTCAAACTGCATCACTCACATGCTATGAGTTTCACACCCATGCAAATTCACTTCCTGATTCCAATTCTGAGTGATGTGAACCCATGTGGTTGAAATGAGAATACATTTTAAAATTTGGCTATCCTCCGAATAACGGTCCCAAATTATCGAGGCCAAAAATATACCCTTACAGGGCCTCAGTCACGTGTCATTTGCGGACTTCCGATCACTATTCCGCCCCTGCCGAATTGCTGACTTCCGGGAACTAAACCACAGCCGTCGAGAGTATCTCCCACGCCGCTACACGCGGCGTGGATTCGGGCTAAACTAGATGGCTGAGACTCATGAGCAAATAAAATGAAGGAAGCTGCAGGGGATGGGGTAGCTGCTGCTCGTGAGTCCCAGCCATCTAGTTTAGCCCCAATCCACGCCGCATGTAGCGGCGTAGGAGATACTCTCGGCAGTGGCGGAAGTCGCCGGAAGTACGCAATTGACATGTGACTGAGGCCCTTTTAGGGTATATTTTCGACCTCGATAATTTGGGACCGTTATTCAGAGGATAGCCTAAAATTTGATTGTGTGCTTATGCATGTTAAACTCCTGAAAGATGTACTGATGTAAAGAGAGCAGAACAGTTGACACAGTTGTGTTTTCTCTCATTCTCAGCAATTTTAAACTCTTGTGCTTGGAAATAATATCCTCGAGAAATTTAGGATATTTCACTGTTATAGATTTCCTTTACAAGCACACACCCACCGTCACATACCTATACCCGCACACACTGTCACACAAACTCTTTCTGTGTCCCATTTGTAAACATTTAGAAAGTAAAGTTTGTTTATTCATCCTATATCCATCTGTGTGTCGCAGCATTCCTTTATGAATGTCTTTCTGTCTTTCTGTGTGTCCCTCTGTATGTTGTCTTGTTACTGACTCACTCTCTCCTGTCTTCTTCCTCCCTGTTTCTGTATGTCACAGGTTCAGTCAGAATTTAAATCTCTGACTCTCTCTCTGCCAGTATCCCGTTAGAAATTAGGATGTTACACTGTTATATATTCCCTCTGTTTATTATCTGCTTGTGAGGCTCTGTCTTGTTACTTGGAATCTTACTTGAGCAGTATTAGTAAAGTCTGTCTCATAACAGCAGTATTAGTAAAGTCTGTCTCATAACAGCAGTATTAGTAAAGTCTGTCTCATAATAGCAGTATTAGTAAAGTCTGTCTCACAACAGCAGTATTAGTAAAGTCTGTCTCATAAGAGCAGTATTAGTAAAGTCTGTCTCATAAGAGCAGAATTGTCTGTCTGTCATTGTTTGCCTTGTACAGAAAAGAGATCATCTTCTATTGTCTTCTGTAAACTGCACATGTCGGCGTCTGTGGCTTAGGCATTGCGAACGTGCTTCGTAATGTTGGGGTGCCGGGTTCGATCCCTGCTGCGGACAGTTTGTCTTGTGATGGTTTCGACCAAGGTACCAAGAGCCGACTGTCCAGAAAGCAGTGGCAAACTACTGGACGTAACTTTGTCCAGAAAAACCACAACAGCCAGAAAGTGCTGGGGGTTGGTTCTGCAGCGTCCTGTAAATGATACACAACTAAAAAAAAACTGCACATAGTACAATCGCTAAAACAAAGTGTATCTCACAACACAGAAGGCAAATGAGCAAGAGGCAGTGAGCGATAAGAGTGGGAGAATAAGGTCAAGAGCTGGCTGAACGGCAGTCTGAAAGAGTCTACATTCAGAGCAAATGACAGAGCATATTTAAAGATCCATTTGTCTGGCTTGTTCCTTAACTTTTTACTCAACATTTCTACAGTTATTGCTAATAAATTTTCAGTTGCGCACGCACGCACGCACTCACACACACACACACGTAAAAAATATTGGTGTCGATTTTTCTCATATGGATTCTGGGGCACCATGGTGTTGGGGAAGGGAGGGGGTTGGGGGGGGGGGGGGGGGGGGGGGTGGGGGGGCGGGGGGGGGGGGGGGGGGGGGGGGGGGGGGGGGGGGGGGGGGGGGGGGGGGGGGGGGGGGGGGGGGGGGGGGGGGGGAATTGTCTCACTGCCCTATCTCTTTCCCAAGCTTGTCATATAAGGCAACTAATTATGGGTTTTGCTGTAATTGTAATTTTTAGGTTGAAAGGCGCAGAAACCACATCACAACTTGCAAACCCCCCTATTTTGGAATGGTCATAGAAGAATAAGTATTTGTTACTTTAATGATACAGATAAGTATTGGGGAAGAAAATGGACTTATTACGGGCCACACTTGAGTACATAAAGGGCTGCATATGGCACAGGGCCCATATGTTTGATATGCCTGGCTGAAGTAATATCCAGCGCTCCATTATGTTTTTCTTGGCATTTTTCCATCAGCACAACATACGGGCTTCCGCTGTCGCCAGCTGCTGATGCCTGTCGGACTGCCCGCCACGCCCTGTCGCTCATCGCCACTGCTCGGCCACCAGCATTCATCATCACTATGGCGAAGGAGGTAGCCCGCTACAATGCCTTGGCTCAGAATGCCCAGCACCCTAATGCACAAATGCAGAATATCATCCTGGTTCGAGCCTCTGCGGAGATCTTGCATATCATTGAGTTGCTTGTCGAGAAGATTCCCAATGATGTCGCAGATCTGATTGTGGAGGTAGTTTTCTTTTTTATTCTTCTTCTTTTCTCCGTCTCCTTCTCTTCCTCCTCCTACTTTTACTCCTGTTGCTGCTCCTCCTACTCCTTGCTGCTCCTCCTACTCCTGTTGCTGCTCCTCCTACTCCTGTTGCTGCTCCTCCTACTCCTGTTGCTGCTCCTCCTACTCCTGTTGCTGCTCCTCCTACTCCTGTTGCTGCTCCTCCTACTCCTTGCTGCTCCTCCTACTCCTGTTGCTGCTCCTCCTACTCCTGTTGCTGCTCCTCCTACTCCTGTTGCTGCTCCTCCTACTCCTACTGTTGCTGCTCCTCCTACTCCTGTTGCTGCTCCTCCTACTCCTACTGTTGCTGCTCCTCCTACTCCTACTGTTGCTGCTCTTCCTACTCCTACTGTTGCTGCTCCTCCAAATGTAAGACAGACCTTCATGCCAAGTTTGTGACTTTTGGAAATAAAGTCTGTTCATTCTCCTTTTTCTTCTTCTTTGTCTTTTTCTTTTTTTTTTAAATCCCTTTTCTTCTCCCTTTTCTTCTCCTCTTTCTGCTTGTGTATCTTCTCCTTTGTCTTCTTCTTCTCCTCCTTTTTTTCTGGTTTCTCCCCTTTTTCTCCTTCTGTTTGTTATTTCCTCCTCCTTCCTCCTCTTCTGCTTCTTCTCCTCTTGCTAATGCCAACAATCCTCCTTCTTGTCCTCTTTTATTTTTTGTAAATTTTTTTTCTGGATTTTTCTTTTTTTAAATTAGAGAAATGGTATGTTAGCTTTGATAATTGAACACGTACAGAGAACCTATTTGACCGTACTCCTGGCAAGACTGTAAGTGCTCAGTCTCCGCCAGCAGATCCAAGTGTCATGCATGTTCATTATCCCTGAGGCGTGTTGCCATAATAAAGTCCAGGACCCTATTTACACCACTGGCACATCAGGGGCATGTTGCTGTAACTGTATTTTTATTGACCAATCGGCACTCAGGTCAGGTGATGGGGTCAATCACCAATCCGGCCAACTTTACCTCCCAGGACATTTCCTGCTACCCATTTTAGGCTGGGTCGACCTGGGAGCCAAGGTCATTTTGTGTGTGTTAACTCTTTAAGTCCCAAGGAACACATCATACATTCATAGGTTACTACAAAGAAGCCTAATGAACGCATGATGCGCCGATTTTAAGTCTCTTTTGACTACCACTTGGGCCTGTGATGCTAAACTCGCTGGGACTCAAAGAGTTAAGCTACCTCGATTTAGGTTTGAACCTAAGAGTTTTAGACCAACATTTGAGCATGTAGTCACTACTCTATTGTTGCTCACTACTGCCATAGTGTTAAATGATGTTTCAGTTCGCCTCTTAAGTAGATATCAGAAAGTAGAGTTACCAGAGGAATTAAGGTCTGATTCTCTGTTGCTGCTGTGGAAGGTTCAGAATGGACAAATGTTTGCATGAGTGGATACCAAGCATCAGCGCGTCAGCGTTTCTGGGACTCACGTGGATTTACTGCCCAGGATATGGAGGAGTGCGAGGGAATAAAAGAGCTGATTTTCTAGCCACAAAAGCAATAGCCAGCAGAACACTTGTACTGGAGAACCAAGAGATTCTGAAGACGATTTAACTGCCCTCTTAACCACCATGTTGTAAAAGGCAACAGATTAAGGATTAGCTGAAATCATGTTTTGGGACAAAAGGCATAAATATCCCAGCCTAGCTATAGATCACAACACAGTGTGCCAGCTGGCCTTTTTAACTAAAGACAAATCAACTGTGTTAAAAAATTCATATAAAATTTGAGGCCTGACAGGGATCTCACTTTCTCCTTGGTATCCACAGGCCATGGATGTGACCATGTTTTGTCTGGATCTTGCAGCTCTCAAAGCTAAGGGACTCCCAGATCTGTTTCCAGCAATATGCAGGTGAGTGTCCTTTCTGTTCTTCTTCTTCAGTATTCTGAGCCTTTGAGGTTCATTGCTGCAGATATCACCCACCTCCATTCATCTCTCTGGTTGGAGAGTCCTTTCTGTTCTTCTTCTTCTTCAGCATTCTGAGCCCTTGAGGTTCATTGCTGCAGATATCACCCACCTCCATTCATCTCTCTGGTTGGCGAGTCCTTTATGTTTATTAAAAAAAATAAAAACAAAAACAAAATATAAAGGTGTTTGAACTGACATACAATTTATTAAAAACCAGCATGTGAAATGGTTTGGTCATCTGACGAAAATGCCCTCTTATCAGCTGCCATTGAGAGTCATGAAGAAGTGAAGGTAACAATGAGCAAGGATAGAAACATGAGGATCAACTTATACAGTGCAGTGGGAAAAGCACACAAAAATTCCTTGCTCTCCCAGTCGGCTTCCCTGCACTTTCGTGAGATATCTGGAGGAGGCGGAGAAGAAGTAGTATATAAGTGAGAGGGTGGACATAATTGCATTTAGTCCTCGTGTGGATTCCTGGGCCCCATTGTAGGGGAAAACAAGAATAGATCCACTGACTACCCAGAAGCATGTGTGGATGTGCACGCACCACACAGGAACTGAAACAGGACTAGAGTCCAGAAGTGGACGGATACCGAGAACTTTCTGTCTTGAGTTTACAGCCAGTGAACGCAAAGAAGATTGCATTCAGTAGATGATGATATCATCAGCTGGCCACATTTACTTCCCAAGACATCACCTAAATGGCGGGTAGCCGGCAGACAGCTGTCACTTGGAAAAGTTATTTGTTTGCAGATATGCAATTTCTGTCACCCAGGAACTGAGTTAAGTGCTTGGTTTGACACTATGAGCTGTAGATTCCACGTGGAGTGGGGTTTTTCCTGCTGTGCTCACAGCATGGTGTGCACTTTTGCGGGTGCAATGCTGGCTTTGGTGACTGACCGTTTGCGCCAACAGTAAGCTGCAATTCTGGTGTGGAACTGTTAACGTTGGCAAAAAGCTTCCTTATGCATTTTTTTTTTTAGTTTGCATGTGCATACTTCACGTTTTTGCTGGGACTGACAAAGTTTTTCACCACTAGTTTTCACATAGGACACTGAAGGAAATTGTGTGTGATCTCCACTGACATGTGAACAAAGCCGTTACCGGGTGACCTATCAGCAATGATGTTGCAAAGCCTCAGCTAACTAACTAACATTACCTGGTACCCATTTCAGGCTGGGAGCCATGAGCACTTTTGAAAAAATCCATCTCTGTGCAAATTTTAGCCCAAAACCTTTAGGGCGACGAGCAAGCATCAAGCCACTATGCCAGATTGAGCCCAGGCTGAAACGTGGTAGAAAGTGAAAATTATGAACAACTGAGACTTGCAGACAAATTATGAAAAATTGCAGTAAAAAAAAATATGAACACAGTTACAGAAAAATTATTAATAATTGACAGTTACAGAAAAATTATGAACAATTGGTCAGTTAACAAAAATTATGAGCTATTGATGGTTAAGAAAAATTATGACAATTGACAATTACAGGAAAATTATGAACAGTTGACAGTTACAGACAAATTATGAACAGTTGACAGTTACAGAAAAATTATGAACAATTGACACTTACAGAAAAATTATGAACAGTTGACAGTTACAGAAAAATTATGAACAGTTGGCAGTTACAGAAAAATTATGAACAGTTGACAGTTACAGACAAATTATGAACAGTTGACAGTTACAGAAAAATTAGGAACAATTGACAGTTACAAATTATGAACAGTTGACAATTACAAAAAATATTATGAACAATTGAAAGTTGCAGACTGTCTGTTATTGATAATTGTTTCTTCTTGTAACCCCTGGGGGGGGGGGAGGGAAGGGGGCTGGCTATAGGGACCCCATTTCGGATGAAAAAAGTAAAACACATACTGCCCCCAACAACCATGTCATTGTAAAAAAAACGTATGTGTTTGCTGAAATTGGATGTGTTTGGTCGTAATAAATATCAGAGCCAAGCTGTAAACCACAACAGAACATGCCCGCTGCTGTTTTAGTGGCAAACAAAGAAGCTGCAACTTGTGTTCAGCTCTGTACACTTTGATTAGATATGTATGTTTATATTCTGTTCTTAGGTTCAGCATGGTGGCCTATTGCCCAAATACAAAGAGGGTGTGGGTCGGTGCCAAGAATGGACACCTGGCTCTATATGAGCTAAAGCAGCATGCTAAATGTCAGGTAATGTGTGATTATGTTGTTGTTAAATGTCGGTTAATGTATCACTGAGTCATATACTAAATGTGAGGTAATGTGTCAACAAGTGTTGTGTTAAATATGAGGTAATGTGTCATTAAGTGTTGTTAAATGTTAGTTATGAATCACTGAGTCATATACTAAATGTGAGGTAATGTGTCATTAAGTGTTGTTAAATGTTAGTTATGAATCACTGAGTCATATACTAAATGTGAGGTAATGTGTCATTGAGTGTTGTGTTAAATGTGAAGTAATGTGTCATTGAGTGTTGTGTTAAATGTGAGGTAATGTGCCATTAAATGTTGTGTTAAATGTGAGGTAATATGTCATTGAGCATTGTGTTAAATGTGAGGTAATGTGTCATTGAGTGTTGTGTTAAATGTGAGGTAATGTGTCATTGAGTGTTGTGTTAAATGTGAGGTAATGTTTCATTGAGCATTGTTAAATGTGAGGTAATGTGTCATTGAATGTTGTGTTAAATGTGAGGTAATTTGTCATTGAGCATTGTGTTAAATGTGAGGTAATGTGTCATTGAGTGTTGTATTTAATGTGAGGTAATGTGTCATTGAGTGTTGTGTTAAATGTGAGGTAATGTGCCATTAAATGTGTTAAATGTGAGGTAATGTTTCATTGAGCATTGTTAAATGTGAGGTAATGTGTCATTGAGTGTTGTATTAAATGTGAGGTAATGTTTCATTGAGCATTGTTAAATGTGAGGTAATGTGTCATTGAGTGTTGTATTAAATGTGAGGTAATGTGTCATTGAGTATTGTATTAAATGTGAGGTAATGTGTCATTGAGTGTTGTGTTAAATGTGAGGTAATGTGTCATTGGGTGTTGTGTTAACCCTACCAAACCTGAAGCCCTGAACCTAACTGTCCCCTATACCTGAGCTCCTGGGCATTAACACGAAAAAACCAACATGATGTACACAAATATTAGCTCCATGCAAACAAGTGGTTAGAATAAGATGAAACTTGGAGACATTGTAGAAAATAGGTTTACCTTTCATCTAGTGCCAATATTCCACCTTTATGTGCCAATCCACCCAGCAGGATGAAGATTGTTTCACAAAGTGAGCACCAAATGTTGCTGTTTGAGAGACACGCCCCCTTCTCTTACTATCGATCTATTTCTAGATTTATAATTTTCAAGATTCTCCTCATTATTTGAGCTGAATGTGTCACTTCAACTGTGAACGTATTCTTCATGAAATAATGATCCGCAGAGTCTGAATAACCCAAAGTATCAATCACCTGTTGGACTGTGAAAAGCCTAGACCTACTTTACTTTCCTGTCAAAGTGCTTAGTTTATTAGCTGCTCATTTCATTGTGAATTTTCAGAATTGTTTCACGTAAAACAACAAATGTTATCCAAACATACGAGGGCGGACATCTAGGAAGACCATCCATGAGGTCTGATTATGATTGGCTAGTTATTTTTAGTTTGTGACGCATCTTTTTCACGCACTACGCAAATAGCCGAAAATTAGGACCAGCGGTATTGCGTCTGGTTAAGAAATTCCCGGAAAATCGGGCCAGCTGTCTGTGGTAGGGTTAAATGTGAGGTAATCTGTCATTGAATGTTGTGTTCAATGTGAGGTAATGTGTCATTGAGTATTATATTAAATGTGAGGTAATGTGTCATTGAGTATTATATTAAATGTGAGGTAATGTGTCATTGAGCATTGTATTAAATGTGAGGTAATGTGTCATTGAGTATTATATTAAATGTGAGGTAATGTGTCATTGAGTATTGTATTAAATGTGAGGTAATGTGTCATTGAGTATTGTATTAAATGTGAGGTAATGTGTCATTGAGCATTGTGTTAAATGTGAGGTAATGTGTTTGAAAATTTTTTTTTCACCTAAACACATTATAAAGAATAATATAATATATTTAATATATAAATTGCTCTGTAAATTTGTTCTGTATTAATCATTAGCCGGTCTGCGAAATAATATTATTTTTTTCACATTGTTATTATTTCTGCTATGCACAGGTGTAAAAATGTTGAAGAACGCTGTTTTAATGCATAATTAGGGCAACAGATTCCATCACGGTTTTTACCTTGTCACGAAATAGAGAGTTCATGTGAGAGTTAAAACTCTTGGATATTTCAGATGATCTCAGCTCACCATGGAGCCATCACCGCCGTGTCGGTGAACCAGGATGGCAAGTACCTGGCTACATTTTCTCATGTGGACAACAAACTCAAGTTCTGGCAGGTGAGGAATCATTCTTTACTGTCTGTGTTTATCGCATTGAAAATAGATCGGGAACATAAATCAGGAATTAAAAACAAGATGCCAACGAGGCAGTACACCTATATACCAACTGAGACTGTTATTAAGACATTCAAACATAAATATGAGCACCAAAGTCAGTTGCATATCCTTTACAGGATGTTGCAGAACAAACTCCAGCATTTTTGGCTATTATGACTTTCTTAGGCAAATTTACATTCATTAGTTTGCCATTGCTTCTAATAGGTCAGTTCTTGGTACCACTTTAAAAACCAATGCAAAATGGTCTGCTGCCAAAAGGCCTGCACTGGGATGAACCCAGCATTGTGAAGCATGTTCACAGCGCCTAAGCTGACAAGAGCACCAAGAAACAGGTTTTAAACAGCCATCACCAAGAAACAGGTTTCAAACAGCCATCACCAAGAAACAGGTTATAAACAGCCATCACCAAGAAACAGGTTATAAACAGCCAGCACCAAGAAACAGGTTATAAACAGCCATCACCAAGAAACAGGTTATAAACAGCCATCACCAAGAAACAGGTTATAAACAGCCATCACCAAGAAACAGGTTATAAACAGCCATATTCATACCAACACTGTGCTACCAGTGCCAGACTTGGACCTGCATAAAATGAACACCTGTGAAATGAGATGCCTGAGAAAAGCCGCCAACTTAACCATCCAAGACAAAGTTTGGAATGATATTGTCAGACAGACTATGGGGAGAACACCATGCTGTAAAATTCCCTGAGATCAGATGGTTTGGTTACCTAGTAAGAAAGCAGCAGAACAACTGCCAGCGCAAGTGCTGCACCAAGTGAAACCAAGAGGCTGCTCTAGGAGAAGATGGATGGATGACATTAAAGAGGTTCTATATCGACACGGAAGGACAGCAGCCATTGCTGCCCATCAAGCGATGGATCAGTGTGTTCCTCCCCATGACGCTTAACGGCAGAAGTGTAAATTGATGATGATAATTGAAAACTGTACACACAAGGGAGCTGAATGGTTATAGACCATGAGGCAGACCAAGAAGATTGTAGAGAGATAAAATCCAGAATTGTCTGCAAGTACTCAATTATCACCAGCTTGAAAGAGAAGGCCAGCCCAGAAAGATGAATGGAGGCAGGTGATATCTGTTGCCGTGAACCTCAAGGGCTCAGAATGCTGAAGAAGAAGGAGAATAGACACCCCCCCCCCCCCTCCCGTCCCCCCCAATTATGAATGTATCTTTCAAAGTCAGGGTGCATCTGCCTGAGAGGCGAGGAACCAACCAACAGTCTGCATACATATAAGTCAGATGGGGAAGAAGCACTGACAGTAGAAATATCTTATTCTGTTGTACTGCCAAGTGAAGTGCTATTCATTTTGACAAAACTCCTCAATATTTGTACATGTGTATCACAGTTAACTCCATTATATATTTTTTATCTTTATTACAGTTAAACTCCAACATATTTTCACATCTGTATTACAGTCAAACTGTTTATTTGTTATATCAGCATCACAGTTAAACTTCAACATATTTTCACATCTGTATCACAATAAATGCAGTGAACTCCGTTATATTTTTATATCCTTCTCACGGTTAAACTCCAGTATATTTTCACATTAGTATCACAGTTAAACTCCAGTACATTTCCACATCAAACTCGTTTTTATTTTCCACATTTGTAGTTTCACTTGCATACCTCATTTCTTCTTCTATGTTAACCCTTAGAATAGTGGTTGACATGTTGTGTTGTGGTTGACAGTTAGGCTGCAATATCTGTGTCTTTCAAACACTTGCATACCTCATTTATTTTTCTATGTTAACCCTTAAAATAGTGGTTGACGTGTTGTGGTTGACAGCTAGGCTGCAATATCTGTGTCTTTCAACCCAACATGTTTGAGTTCAGCAAACCTCTAATAAGTGACCTTTTCTGACATGATTGTGGGTGGGAAGGATGGGGCTAGGGGGGGGGGGGGGGTCCTTTCTGTTTCCATCTAAAATAGGGCCCTGGAACCCACACTAGGATTACCCCTTGCATCTCCCCTGTATTTACGATGTACCATTGGTAGCTTCATATTGTTTCATTTAAAATAGCCATACAGCATGCTGTGAGAGCCGCAGTAAAAACAGACAGACAAAAAGAAATTCAATAATAGCTTATAAAAATGCACTTGAATTTTAACCTTTTCTCTTCAGACTGCCTCCACTTCATTGTTTGGGATTGGGTCCCAGCAGACGAAGCAGATCCGCAGCTACTCGACTCCTGCCATCTCTGTGTCGCCAGTCAGTAACATCCTGAAACTGGTCAGGCTGGTGTGGATTGACAAGAATGTGGTTGTGCTTCTGACTGTTGATGGACAAGAACTCAAGTACTCGGTTTAATCTTTAGGGAAGACGTCTTCAATTTAGTCTTTAGGGAAGACATCTTCAGTTTAGTCTGTAGGAAAGACATCTTCAGTTTAGTCTATAGGGAATTAGTCTGTAGGAAAGACATCTTAAGTTTGGTCTGTAGGAAAGACATCTTAAGTTTAGTCTGTTGGGAAGACATCTTCAGTTTGTAGGGAAGACATCTTCAGTTTAGTCTGTAGGGAAAACATCTTCAGTTTAGTCTGTAGGGAAGACATCTTCAGTTTAGTCTGTAGGGAAGACATCTTCAATTTAGTCTGTATGGAAGACATCTTCAGTTTAGTCTGTAGGAAAGACATCTTCAGTTTAGTCTATAGGGAATTAGTCTGTAGGAAAGACATTTTAAGTTTAGTCTGTAGGAAAGACATCTTAAGTTTAGTCTGCAGGGAAGACATCTTCAGTTTAGTCTGTAGGGAAGACATCTTCAGTTTAGTCTAAGGAAGACATCTTCAGTTTACTCATTAGTTAAGACATCTTCATTTTTATCTGTAGGGAAGACACTGTCTCCGGGTAAAGACTGGCATGTGTGCATTTTACCGCCATGCTATCCCAGCTCACTATTTGCCTCTTAAGACATGCATGTTTAGTTAGTGTGCTCACAGTTGAGAGCTGGGTAACCTTAGGGCACTCTGGACATATCCATAAGTGCTCAGATCCCTTTCAGCATATACATTTTCCTTCCGTTGGCAATAGTGCCAATCCTTAGCTGGTTAACAAGCCTTCTGTTATGTCTAGTATGCCTGGCTGTTCAAATCTTCACCCCTAGTTCTTGCCTTCCTACCACTGATGTGGAAGCACAGCCCCAGAAATCTTCCCATCATCCTCTTTACTTCCTTTTGGACCTCGGGCACACGCAGACTGCTCCCATCATTGTCTTGTTCTGCTTCTTCTTCTTTCCATTCACTGGCTGTATACTTCAGTGGAAAGTTCTGGTTGTTCATCCATTATGAACATTAGTGAGCCTGAGGATTAATGGCAGCATAGCTCCCTGTGTGGGTCCCTGGGCCCAAATTTGAGGAAAAAAGAATATATCCACTGCCCCCCCAGCCCCAGCATACATGTCTAAAAGTCTACTAATTATGGATGTTTTTTTTCATACTCGGGGTGCATCTGCCTGATAGGTGAAAAACCAACAATCTGCATACAAATAGTTAGATGTGAAAGAAGCACTGCCACAGATCCTCAGGCTGTTCCTGGCCTATACCGCCTTAAACATTGTGAATCTTCCTCTTCTTCTTTAGCATTCCGAGCCCTTGAGGTTCACTGCTGCAGATATCACCCACCTCCATTCATCTCTCTGCCGTGTCGATGTAGAAGCTCTGTGATGTCATCTATTCTTCTTCTCCTGTGAACAACTTTTTGCTGTCACATCATATTCTTTTCAGGTACATAGCACCTGCGCTGGTAGTTGTTCTAGCTGCATTCTTACTCTATAACCAAACCATGTGGAGCTGAATTGTCGCGTGTCCCCCCCCCCCCCCCCCCCCCCCCCCCCCCAGTGAGGGGTCCCGGAACCCCTACCATGACTGGTGCAGTACAAGTACAAAGACTTTGTATATACACCAGTCAGAAACTGTGCCAGTTTGTAAACCATTCCATTTTTACTTGATGTTAATTTGAGCATCCACTGGCAAAATGTTTTGTTCTGCAGTGTGAAATATTATAGTTACTTGTTTAAATGAATTTTTTGGGCTTATGGTCAGTATAATGCGAACATAACTTTGTGAACTGTAATCTGTGATTATTTGAAAATAACTGTTTTTTATATAATAAAAATGTGTTGGTTAATACTCATCACAGTCCAGTAACTGCTTGTCATTGGGTCACCAGTTGCTGTAGAATACTGAATAGTTTCCCCCCACATCTGTTGTTCAGATGCAGTAGACTTGGAGTATTCAGGCTTTCGAATGTTAACGCTATAGACACATTTAATGAATTAGTTATTTCTCACCTAATGAGAATGGAACCAACGATGCTAGCATCAAGAGCATACAACATGAAAATCGAAACACCAAGAGGCAGGGGAAGACCAAGAAGAAGATGGATTGAAGGAGTCACGGACAACTTGAGACTTCATAACATCACGGCATATGAAGCGACTGAGCGCGCCCTGGCTCGGTTGCCGATCATCTGATAGACTGCGACGCCTAGCGGCACAAGCAGATTTTGACAAAAGAAGAAGAAGAAGTTATTTAAAACATAAAACTAATAAATATGTCAGAGGCAGAATATACAAATTTGCAGGACATCACGAGGCTCTCTTGGCAGTGGTGAAGTGTCACATGGTAGCTTGATTTGGGCATGTTGTGAGACATAATTCGATTGCAAACTGTACTTCAAGGAACATTGGGGGTAAATTAAGAAAAAGAGGCCAAATAAGAACTTGGACTAACAACATCAAAAAGTGGACAGGACTAAGTTATCATACACTTATTAATCAAGCGGAAGACAGAGAAAGATGGCGGGTCTTATGTGCTAGTGCTGCCATCGATACACCTCTACGACCCCAACTGGTCAAAGGTTATGTTATAATAATGGACTTGATTTGGTGTATGTTTGATTGAGGTCTGTCCAATCAGTCAAATTCAGCATGGTTTGTCTGGGGCAGTATTTCATCCTTTGTGGTGCCCAACCCTGGTAATGTCACACAAGGCTTTTTTCCTCTAGCGGTATGCAATATATGCAGTACCAGCACCTTGTTTTAGTCATCATTTGTTCAGCATAACATGGTAGACCTCATGTGGAAAGATGATATTCACATATCTGAGCGCAGACTGTCAAAACTGGTACATTTTTTTTTATCTTACTGTGAAAATTTACTTATTTAAAATACTTCTTATAGGGCTGGTAATATATTTTTTATGAGTGTGGAAATAAGGTTTTCATTGATATACAATTTTTATTGGATAATTATGTGCATTGTTTCATTTCACCTAATGGTGTTTTACTTTTTTTTTTATCTGACTGCAGAACTTAAGGGTGTATGCGCAAAATGCCTACATATGTGATTATGTGTGTATATATGTAAGTATGTGCTTGTCAGCATATGTGTGTGTGTGTTTAACTCTACCCATTGCAAAAGGTCATAGTTGATGCCCTAGTGAGTTAGATGTGAAATCAACAAAATAATGGCTATCCTACATCCGCAGGGCCTTAATACACATTCCTTGTGGGAGACAAATGTGTTGTTGAGTGTTTTAGCATGTCGGGACTGAACATAAATTGTACCAGCATTATCATAACATGTTAACTGGCGCATGTGAGTAAATCCAATCACACATGGTGCATTATTCGGGACAAAAGAGTTTGGGGTGAAAGAGTTTATCCTTGATGTTTGGGGGTGAAACAGTTTATCCTTGATGTTTGGGGCCAAAGAGTTTATCCTTGATGTTTGGGGCCAAAGAGTTTATCCTTGATGTTTGAGGTGAAATAGTTTACCCTTGATTTTTTAGGCGAAAGTGTTTATCCTTGATGTTTGAGGTGAAAGAGTTTATTCTTGATGTTTAGGGTGAAAGTGTTTATCCTTGATGTTTGAGGTGAAAGAGTTTATCCTTGATGTTTAGGGTGAAAGTGTTTATTCTTGATGTTTGAGGTGAAAGAGTTTATCCTTGATGTTTAGGGTGAAAGTGTTTATCCTTGATGTTTGAGGTGAAAGAGTTTATCCTTGATGTTTAGGGTGAAAGAGTTTATCCTTGATGTTTGGGGTGAAAGAGTTTTTATCCTTGATGTTTGGGGTGAAAGAGTTTTTATCCTTGATGTTTGAGGTGAAAGAGTTTATCCTTGATGTTTGAGGCAAAAGTGTTTATCCTTGATGTTTGAGGTGAAAGAGTTTATCCTTGATGTTTAGTACAGGAATTTCTACACTTTCAAATGAATGCTAACTAGTATTTAAAAAAAGGTGACCAAACAACAACAAAAATTAAACATTGATCAATATGTTGCAACATTTTCATTTAGACTTTAATTAATCATCACCATTTTCATAATGATTATTAATGGTTGTTTAGAAGCCAGTGCTGTGCCACCTCAGTGTTGCTGCAGTGGTCGTTTCTGTTGGTATATTCCAAGTAATTGTGTTTACCATGTTTGTTATCTCTAGACAACAACAACAAAAAAACAACAGCAAGGAGATAGTTCTGTGTTTATTATTATACATATCTTGTATCAGGGCTTTGTTTAAACTCAGTATTTTCTCTTTCAATAATTGTTTTCTATTATAGTATTGTGTGAGTTACTCGGCGTCTAAAATATATCTGTAATTTTTATTATCTATATTATCTTTTTGTACCTTCTTCTTCCCTTTCACCATCTGCAGTCTCTGGTTGTTCATCCACTTCTGTACTTTGGTCTTGCCTCAAAAACGTGATTTGTGTGCACATCTGTTTTACAGATCTGGCTCTTTTGTATGCAGACTGTTTTATCCTTGCCTTGCACTCCGACTTTAAAGGTTAAAAGTTAAATTCTAGAGGATCGACTTCATTGCACCGGGTTTTATTCTGTATGGCTCGTTCCGTCTCTGCAGAGTGGCCAGCCATTTGCTGAGAACATCGCACAAAACACGAACTTGGTAGCTCTGGTGACGATCCATAGAGATCTCATTTAAAAAATTGCACTCGTGAACTTGGCGGTGCCACCTTGAAACGAACCCACGACCTCCAGAGCACAAGGCAAATGGCCTGACCACTTCAAAGGAAGCACCCCTAATTAGTTGACTGTAATGACATGGTTATTTGAAAGGCAGTGGGTCTATTCTTGCTTTTTCCCCACAATGGTGGGGGGGGGGGGGGGGGGAGACTCTTGAACCCACAGGGGGAATCATCTTATATTGGGGCTTTGATTATACTTATTTTTTTCTCTTTCTTCATAACTTTGTGTAAGCTGTGGGTCATTTATTGAGCTTTATTGACAGGAATCAAGGTAACATAGCAGTTAGATGCTTACCTGCTGGTGCAGAGATCTTAGGTTCGAATCTGCAT